CAGAATATCACTTTGCTGGTTATGTGCAAATGGCATGAGACCTATCTCTTTTTTTCTTGAGCAACTGGTAGTTAATTTTTCTCACAGCTAGCTTAAGGACTCCTGTTTCATGAAGCACCTCAACCAAAAGTCTGTGTATCTTGCTTGAGCCATACTGCTTCCCCTAGAGTTATACTGAAGGCTATTGCTATTTATGTCACTCTACTGTTTTACATTTTCTTCTCAGTTACATGGACACAGAACAGTATGAAGAAGCAGTGAGAGACTATGAAAAAGTTTATCAGACGGAGAAAACAAAAGGTAAAGGTGTTTGGGGCATGTTTTCTCAGGGAACTGTGTGGTCTTACTTGGAGGCCCTAAAACTAGACACTGGCAAAGTTTGATTCGGGGGTCAGGGTTGTAGCTGGAGCTGATTTGATTAACAGCCAGGAAGAAGTGAACAGAGAGCCTGAGTGTGGGACGAGGCACCTATTTTCTGGTCCCAAATTCTCCCTGTCACTGTCACTTCCTTTTCTGTGTGATGAGGCTGATGTGAAGAACCTAAGTATGAGTAGATTTTTTTAATCTCCAGGAAAAATACCGCCATAAAAGCCCCTGGTGTGGTTAACAAGGCTTCCGACGCCAAGGCCATCTGGGCTGGGACCTGGTAAGGGAAGCGAGAATCAGAGTTGTCCTTGATGCTAGATGTCTCCCTCTAGAACACAAACAGCTCCTGAAAAATGCACAGCTGGAACTGAAGAAGAGTAAGAGAAAAGATTACTATAAGATTCTGGGAGTGGACAAGAATGCCTCTGAGGACGAGATCAAGAAAGCGTATCGGAAACGGGCCTTGATGCACCACCCAGGTAGAGCGGTGGGGGGCGGGGACCTTGTGGGAACAGCAAGCCAGGCCAGCCCACTACCAGACTCAGTCCAGAATGAAAGCTTCAGAGAGGCTCTTCATCTGGGAAAAAGGTCTTGCCAAGTTCAGTACCCCCCCGACCTTGGGAATTGCTGAATTCTAAAGTCAGACATAATATGGTTTTTTGCTTCAACTTTGTTTTCTTGAGACTCTGAGACAGTTTCTTCCTGTACCCCTCCCATTTAGATCGGCACAGTGGAGCCAGTGCTGAAGTTCAGAAGGAAGAGGAGAAAAAGTTCAAGGAAGTTGGGGAAGCTTTTACCATCCTCTCTGATCCCAAGAAAAAGACTCGCTATGACAGTGGACAGGACCTAGATGAGGAGAGCATGAACATGGGTGGTGAGTTGGTTGCAACTGTGGAATATTAGAATTATTTCTAAGGACACCCCAGAGGGAGATTCTATGTAATCACCCAGAGACACACAGTGACTCATACAGTGCACCCTTGATGAAGATCTCTGATGCATGAGGCACTGTGTTGGGTGCTGGAAGTAACAAAAACGAATCAGATAGGCCCCCTGACCCCTGACCAGTCCAGGGATTTGCAGACTCTACCCCACGGACCAAATCTGACCCCTGATCTAACAGACATAGAATCCAGTGAGTACAATCAGGTGTAGCAAGGTACCCAGGATGCAGAATAGGCCTCAAGGAGTAAGCACTAGGATGGAAGTACAGAACAGCATAGCACCCTTGGGAGCTGTAAGGGGTTCAGTCAAGGATAGAGGGTGCTCAAGGCAGGCAGTGGGGAGAAATGAGGTCAGAAAGAGCTAGAGTAGACCTCAGAAGGCCTTAGGGGCTGGAGTAAGGAATATGGGATTCTCCTATTGGCTGGAAGATATTTTGTCCCCCACTGTAAAATGTATGCTGACATTTATGTGCATCACACATTCCTGTAAGTCCTGAGAGATTTTAATTTCCCGCAGACTTAGAATGACATAAAGCACAGCTGTCAGCATCACTGCTCACTGTGAGCGCACTCAGAGATAAAAGAGGCCTTGAACCATGCCTAGCTCTCATGCCAACCCTTTCTCCTCCACTAAGAAAATGTTTAAATGTTGGAATTTAAAATAAGACTGATATATAGGAAATCCTGATCTCTCCATTCCAGATGGGGTGTGTATTTTAAAAACCTAGGCTTACCAATAATAAACAGTGCTCCACTCAGCAGTTGAGAAGAGCTATAAGCAATTGAAAGCTATTGAGGGGTTTTCAGTAGGAGAGCTATGGACCAGATTTAGGCTCCAGAAATACATTTGTGATGGCAGTCAGAAGTGATTTGGAAGAAGAGTATAGCGGTGGAGGGAAGATACAGTAGATAGGAAAGAACTGGAGGGCACAGTTGGGAAATAGTAGTGGACTCAGCAGGAGTTTGTTGCTGAATTTGTTGGGAGACGGCAATGACCGAGTTGAGAGTGGCTTTGGCATAGCTAACTCCGTGGGGCCATTTATTGAGTGAGAGGACCCAGGAAGATGAACAGATAGGCTAGCAAAGAATTCACTTTGGGACATAGCTCAGCTGGTGGAAATAAATCTTTCTAGATAGCTTCGGTGGTTATGCCAGGTAGGGACATCAGACCTGCTGTGGCCTGGTGACAAGGGTACAATGTTAAGAGTCAGACAGGAGTTGGCATTTTCAGTTCTGTTGCTTTTACTGGCCACACACTATAGGGCAAGTTACTTGAAATCCCTACTTATGTCCTGTTGAGTATAAATTGAGAATACTCTGACAGACTATTATTAGGATTAAATGATATAATGTAAATTCCCAGGGCTGTGCTTGGCACATAGTAAGTGCTTTAATAAACCACAGCTTTTTTTCTGGCTTACAGTCTAGACAGAGCATAGAATCAAACAGATACAATAAATCATAGGTGTTTTATTCATTCTTTGTAGTATGTGATAAATTTCAGCCTTTTTAGTAGCAGCTGCAGCATTATGGGGCGTGTGGGGAAAGTCTGTGTCTGTGATGCATTTGGCACTCCCAGTTGTGGAGGAGAGGGCCAGCAAAGTAAGTTGAGGCAAAGAATGCTTCCCTTTGGGACTGCACTTGGAAAGAGAAGGGAACATACCCTAGGAGGATCAAGTGGGAAGGTTGGCATGGGGCAAGGCAGATTTGCTCACCTCTAGTTTAAAGTTGGGGAAAAGAAGAAAGTGATACTATCTGGGAAAGAACGCTTTGGAGACCCAATCTCAGTGTCACACGTTCCCCTGCAAACAATTTTTTCACCTTGTTCCTTCCCTGTTTCTCGCCTCGCTCCACAGATTTTGATGCAAACAATATCTTCAAGGCCTTCTTCGGTGGTCCTGGGGGCTTCAGCTTTGAAGGTGGGTATGTCTGCTGTTCTTGGGAGTTCCCAGGTCACAAGCTGACACAGCGACTCCCCAGTTAGGCAGGGGGTTTCATGAGTGGAGGCAGCTGAATTCTCATCTAGCAGGGTCTCTCTGTCCACTCAGGTCTTCCTGAGTGAGGATGGAGTGTCCTGGGCACATCTTGCCTTGGGACCATTAGTGCCATACCTCCACAGGGTCAGGGAGGCATTATTAAGCTGCCTACTACCCAGGCTTCTCTGCATGGGAGGTGTTAGAAGCTACACACACATGCTCACATGCTCCCTACACCCCAGGGCTCAGGCTGTTTGATACCCGTAGAGGTTTTTTCTCCACGTTTGAACCAGCCCTTGGAGACTTTTCCATTATCAGAGAGCAAAGTGATCTTCCCTAGAAAACCCAGAATCAACTAACAAGCCCGTCTTTCCTTTACAGCATCTGGTCCAGGGAATTTCTTTTTTCAGTTTGGCTAATGAAAGGAAACCATCCAGAACCCAGAAAATGCAGACTTGCTCAGTTTAACCTTGAATGTGGACACAATTCACCTCCTCCCTTCATCATGTCTCCATGTACTTAGAGCAGTTTCGTTTTCTGTTGGATGCCCTGTATCTGTGAGTGGGTGAAGGAAAGGGAGCCAACACCGAAGACTGCGGGTAGGGGAGGGAGGCGGGGGGTGGACAGGGAGGGAGCTTGTGAATTTTTGTTTTACTGTTTAACTTTATTAAAAAAGAAAAAAATTAAGAGAATAAAATGTTTTCACCCTTTCTGGCACTTTGCTCTGGCAGCTACTTTGTGTCACCCCAGAGTCAGTGGGCCAGAGCTCACTTTAGGCTCAGTGTGGTGCCCCACAGGGGTGTGGGCACCTCCAGCCTGGTGGCAGATGGGTGATAGCTGCCTCTCCCAAACCTATTTTTAGCATGTGAGTGCTGAGTAGGCCCTGGGCCCACCCTGACACCAGCTCACACTTGGAAACACCATTCTTTGCAAATGCCCTCACTTCTCCACTGGTGTCCTTTTCTGCATGGGAGGCAAGCTGGGAAGGAAGCAGTGGTGTATAGCATGGTGTTCAGGTCAAGCTTAGTGCTCATGGTGAGGAATCTTGAGATTCCAGGCAGACACTAGAGGCTTTGGCTGAAACTTAAGTTTTTGGTGGTTTGGTGGTAGAAATGGTGGGGCAAGACCTTGAACCAAGATTGTATGCTTTCTCTTCCTTCAGAGCCCCTGCTCTTTTCTTTCCAGTCTTCCCCCTTTGGTGCCAAGGCCATAGTGAAGTGATGACTGAGTTAGGCCTGGGAAGTTCTCTGTATAGCCGTCCAGGCCCTTGTTGGCTGGAAGAGACTCTGAATGTCAGGTCTTCCCTTGTGTTTGAAGCAGCACTGACTTGAGGGTGGCCTTCCCTAGACAACTAGGGCAACCCATTCTAGGAGTTAGGAGTCTTGCTTCTCTGAGAAATCTGATTGGACTGGCTGGGCACGCCTCTGGGCCTGTTTCAGGAATTAATGGGGGACGAGAAGCTCTGTGCTCCCTGTTCGTCGTACCCAGCCAACTCCCATTTTCTGTGTGCATCTAAGACCAGCCTCTCTCCTTTCTGCCTTCTTATGAAAGCCACACTGTTCAGCTGCCCAAACTCGCCACAGCTGTGCCCAGCCAGCAGCGGGGAGACAGGACCGATGGCCCCAAGCTGTGGGACAAAGCCAGTCCTAACACACCCAGCCATTGCCTCAGGGAAGATGAGCTAGGCACAGAAGGGTGAGAGAGACTGCACAGCTAGGTTAACATGATTTATTTCATTATCAGTCTTACAAGTTTCTGAGGTTGGGCAAAGCCAGGATAGTAACTCAGATCCCAAGCACTTTTGTTGAGTGACAACCTAATTAGCAAGGCCCTGTTACTGAGCAGAGGACAGTGGAGGGAACCACAACCCAATTTGCTGTATTAAAAACCCCTTCCCAGAGGTACCTGGTGGGGCTTAGCCCTTAACAGCCAGGAGTCTACTCCACTGGCTCTTAGTACCCACCAGCCCCCTTTAGAGGAGGCACACAGGCCTCCAGAGGCACCAAGGAGGCCGGATGGGCTGGGCAGACTGCAAGACTGGAGCTTCCCCACTGAGGCACTGTCACTGGCCTCAGTCTCCCATCCACATGGCAGAGTCACACCACTGGAAAGGGTGGCCATCCCATTTCCTTCCTGGGGTGAGGCCAGCAGCCAGCCCGAGATGTGTGGCTGCCGCTTACTGTTCTGTTTTCTTCCCTAGTTATCAAACTGTTACCTAGTTACAGTGTGAAGAAGGGGACAGGTACTTAGGACCCAAAGTAGGAGACAAATCTTTTTCTACCCTGGTAAACAGCCCCAGCTTTTCTGGGGCTACACTGATTAAGAAATGGGATCAAGGCCCAAGGACCCTCCCCCTCACATCCACCACCAGTGTTCCGTGGCCATGGTGACCACCCCCATGGGCAGTGTGTAGCTCTGAGGTGTCTCTCCCAACGGCCAGCTCTGGGCAGGGCAGTGGACTTAGACTTGCGCTGGGGGCACCAGTAACTGAAAGTAGGGCTCGGGGTTGTGGCTGCAGCTCCAGGCCCAGGTCACCCAGCCTCATCAGGCTGGGTTCCTGAATGGCACCTGCCTACCCACCTTGTTGAAAACTTGAGTGTTAGAGGGAAAGGGGGCTGGCAGGAAAAGAGAGGCAGTTATTTTACAAGTTTTTAAAAAGTTATAGGAAGGTTAATTTTGAGTAAAAAAAAAGAATCTTAAAACAAAGATCAAGCAGAGGGCGTGTTTTCTCCTCCCCCCATCCCTTCTAAAGAGCGAGGGGCACGGGGTGGTGAGAACACTCAGTTGATGGTGCAAGACTGAAAGACACCCCCCTTGCGGCTGCCGTGTGTGGGCACAAGTATGCCCTTCCCGTAGTAGCCTGTGAAGATGGCCCTGACCTTCAGCTTCTTGGCCAGGTTCAGCATCCAGCGCCCATTGCCCATGGAGAAGAGCTTGCCTCGGGTTAGCTCACCCACCTCCTCACCTCTGCTGCCCCCCTTCTCCTGCCGCACAATCTCCAGGAGGTCAATGCCTGTCTGCACAGCCTCCACGTCACCTGCGCAGCCTAGGGTGATGTGAGCGCGGCTTCCCCGGGGCAGGCTGTCAGAGAGAGACAGCTTGTCCACGTCATTTGGCCACAGCAGCAGCTCCTGCTCACTCAGCTCCACCTGGGCTCCTGTCGTCTTGGGCGTCACAAAGAGGGCACAAATGGTCAGCGTGAAGGCCTTGCAGTAAGACTTCTTTACCACCTATGGAGAGAGAGCATGAGAGGACCACATTAGAGGCTGTGGCCTCTAGAGAGGACAGCTGCCAAGGGTGCGTGCCAAGGGTGAGCACAGCGGAGCAGAGCCCTTTGGTACAGGCACGTCCCCTGCAAACATCCACGACATGCAGTTTGTATGGTGTTGGGTGTGTCTCCAGTGACACTGTTCAGGCTGATGTGAAAAAACAGGAAAGTGCCAGAGAGGCAGGGGTTAAAAGCCGTACTTCCTGAGTTCAGAACCCCCCTTCCTAGCTGCCTAGTGCGGGGCTGTGAGCAAGCTGTCGAACCTCTCCACGTTAGCTTATTCACCTATAGAATGGGGGTGACACCAGAACTCGTGACACTAGACACCATCCACGTGAGAGTTAAAGGAGTGACTGGGTGAAGAGCTTGGAACAGTGTTGGGAACATAACAAGTGCTACTGTCACTACTACTTATCTTCCCCTGGTAATAGCCACTCTGGTAGCCAGACCATAACCTGGAATGCAGGGGAAGGTGAGAAATAAATGCCTTTGAACAAAATCTCTGGACACCCTGGTTTACATCCGATTACACGTGTACATCTGGTTATATCTGATTCTTTGAGAAATCCCATCTCCCTCATCTGCCTGTAGAAGCTTCTCTATTTTCACCCATAATCATTCGTCCCAGTGGTGTCTAGCATATAAATGGTACTTAACACATACTGCTAAATGAATGAATGGTTAGATTTGGTAATGGAAAGTGTTACACATTCATTCATGCAGCTATGCTAAGTACTAGGAATACAAGGGTAACCAAAATAAATGCTTGCCCTCAGGGAGCTTCCATTCAAGTGGGAGACCGATGACCACAAGTAAACTGGTTGCATTAGTCTAGACAGCGAAGTGGGAGGAAATGGGTGGAGAGTCAAGAATGGCCTTGCTGAGGTGACCTGGAGGCTAGAGACAGCCATGTGCACCCAGGCAACAGATCATCATGTCAGAGGCTGTGGGCAAGGACACCAACTGTGAGGTGAGGAAGGGTCTGGTACCCCTAAGCCAATAAGTCTTACTATCCCTGGACATTCTCTACTCTGGGGCAAGGCCAGGCCTCATACCTGGGGACAGAACCTCTGAGTGCCAGGTTCCCTGAGGACAAGGGACTCCTAGCCTTTGAGACTGAATGCGGGCTTAGAGAGGCCAGAGCTGGAGCCTGTTGCCAGCAAGCATTCTCCATGAACCTTAAGGAAGAAACAGCACTGGTGGGCAGGCCTGGGGACAAACGCGCAGGCTGGTGGCATCACAGGGCGGGCTCCCCAGAAAAGGCGCCTGAGGTCTATGCAACTAAGCCATCCAAGGGGCGAGCTGGAGCAGATATCATTCTTCTGGAGCTGGTTTCTGCTCCCTGCCTTAGGCTAGTACCTACCCCCAGAACCTCATCCCCTCCCCACCTCAGCTGGTGTTCTTGGGGAGCACTCACATCCTGCTGGGCGTACTCATCTGCCCCGGTGGCCTTCCCGTAGTCACAGAACTTGGTTGTGCAGTGCAGCACGCCCGGGGGTCTCTTCCCAAAGTAGGTAACAAGGTCAATCTTCTCCCTGGGCTCATCCCCAGAGATAACTGCAGGAGGAAGAGAGCGGGGTGGTCAGGGCAGGAGAGCAGAGAGCATGGGCATCCCAACATCTATCACCAAAAGGCCCAGAGGGAAAAAACTGGGACGTTAAGCTAACTCATTTACTCATTAGTTGGTCAAACTAATAGCAACTTCAGAGCTATAAATTACATAGATTTTTACATCTATTCCCAAGTTGAAAACTAAGGCACTTGTAACCCATGAAGGCAATATAAGTCATGAAAAGTTGGGTAAGAAAGAAAAAGATGGTTGGGACCTATGTGGTACAACGGAAGGAGCCGGAAAAAGCATAATTAACATCACAGCCCTCTTATAAGCCGTTTGACCTGAGGCAAGTGATCGACCCTTACCTGTCAGTCAACTACAACAATTAGGGTGACCAGCCGTTTTCCCACAACCACCCACAACCACGTGGGTAACTATTAACTATTAACAGCACCCCATTTCACTCAGGCCCACCTGGATGAGAAGTTACCTAGTCACCATACTATGTATATGTACCTTGCAGGCTTGTTTGGTGGGTGAAAGCCTATATAAAGCCTGGGATATAATAGGTCTTGGGATATAAGAAGATGGTATGTGGCTGGTAGACACAACAAGGTGTGGAGTATCTGTAATTTCAATTTCCAGACTCTAAGGTTATGGCTAGTTTTGGACGTACTGGGTTTTCCCTGTTTATTCCCAGAGTCAAATCCCTGTGAAGATGTCACTCATCTCCAGGAGGAGGGAGGCTGCTACTCTGAGAGCTGGCCTTATTCTTGGCCCAGTACATTTCTCCTGCTGTATCTCAGGCAGTAAAGGGTTTCAGTTTTTAATGGTAAAAGCAACTTTCAGGAGGCAGTCACTCTCCAGGGCAGAGCCACCAGCTCTAACCAGGAGCCCCACCTCTAGTGTGCTTTCCTCTCAAGCTATTCACAGGTACAGGGCTCACACCTGGCCAGTGTCACTGTAGGCTCCACTGTTCCCTGGTTTCCCTGTGTGCAAGCTTTAGAAGCCAAGCAAAGAATTCTCTGAGAACATATACAGGCATAAATCTGCCTCTGAGCATCACAAAGAAACATGGTAGGGGGTGGTTATCAAATATGAAGATAACCTAAAATGTAAGGAAATTGGAAATGGGTTAAAAGAACAGGTGGATTAGTAGGTGTCCTATCCCCAGTAGGCCACTGCAGGAGAGTGAGGGCCACCAGGGTCTTTCCTTAACCAAACCTACCCTACCCCATCATTGAAGCAAACAGCCCTTCGAAGGAGAGAACCCTGAGGAGACCCTGCTGGAGTCGACAATAGTTCAGGCTCTCACCATGGCTTTGGGCAAACCTCACATCCCTTCTGGGCCTGTTTCCCCATCTGCAAAATGAAGGAATTTTTCTCTGAGCCGTGGGATGCCACAGGAGGTGCAATGGGTAGCCCAAGGCCTAGGAACTACCCCCAGTGAAGTCACCATAGTCCTAGTTATAATGTTTTTGCAGCTTAGGATTCTGTCGAGTATTTTAGAAAACAGTTCTGCTGCTGCTAAAAGTTATTTGAAAACACTGAACCAGATTCTCCAAGGCTGTAAGAAATGCTGACATATTGTCTGTTATGACAATAATTTGTTTTTCCCACTTCTAAGACAGGTCAGTGGTCTACATTCAGGCTGGGAAAGGGGAATTGGGCAGAAAAGGACAGGAAGGAAGGGTGCAGTGGGAGGCAAAGTGCTCTGGAAGCGCCTCTCTCCATATCCCACTGTGCTCTCACTACCCAAGGCTACCTCAGCCTTGTACCAGGTGAGCTTCCACCTGTTTCCTCACTTTGCTCCCAGTGCTTTGAGGATACCGTGGTTCTGAGCATGCAGCACCTTGTACCCCGCAAGGGCTAATTGCCCCTGACCTGCCCTGCCACCTACAGTGTCGCAGCTCCTTCTTGAAGGCCTTGTGGTTCCCCAGCTCATCCAGGAAGGTCTGGCCGGCTTTGCGGAGGCTGTCAGAACTCTTCTTAGTCAGGAACCAGCCAAAGTAGAGTGGCAGGAAGTCCTTCTCCAGCCCAGGCTTCAGCTTCTTTAGCTCATCGACCGACAGCTGCCACTGGCTCTTCTCCTTGAGCTGGGCACAGTCCAGCCGCCATGCTGTCTTGGGCTCCACCAGCACCACCTGGTACTGGTACTGGTCAGCCATTTCAAAGAGCTGCTCCAGCCGCTCCCGCTCATGGTTGGTGTCATCCAGCACAAGGACTCGGATGTCCCGGCGGCAGCAGTCAGCCAGTTCCTTGTCCAGCAGCTTGTACTCCTTGGGGAAGCCTCCTCGAGCAGGGGTAATCTTGTAAGCATCGGCAGACACCATCTTGGTGCTGTCACGGTACCTGTCCGTGATGGCCCGTGCCAGAGTGGACTTGCCGCTCCCTGGCAGGCCGCGCAAAATGACGAGCGTCTTGCATTCTTGTAGCGTGCCCACCGTCTCCTCGTCCTGCAGGAAGGGAAACTGCAGCTCAGGCTTGTCCTTGGCCTCTGAGGATGACATCTTGCGGAAGAAAATCTTAGGCAGGAACGTGTGGCTCTTTCGAGAGAAGCCTCTATTCTGTGTGA